AAGAAATATTTCAGCTAAAATAATTTTTAAAACTGGTCTAAAAATTAAGTATAATTTTAATAGCACATTTCAAATGAAACAGCTTCTGAGAGTTAATACTGCACATGCTGCAAAAGTAAAAATACAGCTATACATACACACATTCAGAGCTGAAAGATGTGGCATAGCCATTAGTGATTCTCAGGAAAATATCCAGGTGGGTTTGACTAACTTGCATCTAAGTAATCTTCCTCCTCTGGAAAAAAAAAAAAGAATTCAAATACAAATGATAACTTTTATTTTTCACTGGAGGAAAGTGCATTTCTTTTGTTTTCTGGAAGTGGTTGCTGCTGGTTTTGATTCACAACATCTCTCAACAGGTTCAAGATCATGTTTCTTTTAATCTCTTTTGGCCTACATTGTCACATCTTCCAAAACTATGTTGAATAGGAGTGGTGAGAGTGGGCACCCTTGTCTTGTTTCTGACTTTAAGGGAAATGCTTTCAATTTTTTGCCACCGAGGATAATGTTTGCTGTGGGTTTATCATACATGACTTTTATTATGCTGAGGTATGTTCCTTCTGTGCCTGCTTTCTGGAGAGTTTTTATCATAAATGGGTGTTGAATTTTGTCAAAGGCTTTCTCTGCCAACTATTGAGATAATCATATGGTTTTTATCCTTCAATTTGTTAATGTGGTGTATCACATCAATTGATTTGCAAATATTGAGGAATCCTTGCATCCCTGGGATAAAGCCCACTTTATCTTTTTAATATGTTGTTAGATTCTGTTTGCTAAAATTTTGTTGAGGGTTTTTGCATGTACGTTCATCAGTGATATTGGCTAGTTTTCTTTTTTGTGGCATCTTTGTCTGGTTTTGGTATTAGGGTGATGGTGGCCTCATAGAACGGGAGAAACAATAGCAAACAAAGCAACTGACAAAGAATTAATCTCAAAAATATACAAACAGCTCATGGAGCTCAATACCAGAAAAATAAACGATCCAATCAAAAAATGGGCCAAAGAACTAAACAGACATTTCTCCAAAGAAGACATACAGATGGCTAACAAACCACATGAAAAGATGTTCAACATCACTCATTATCAGAGAAATGCAAATCAAAACTTCAATGAGGTACCCTCTCACAGCGCTCAGAATGACTGCTATCAAAAAGTCTACAAACAATAAATGCTGGAGAGGGTGTGGAGAAAAAGGGACCCTCTTACCCTTGGTGGGAATGCAAACTAGTACAGCCACTATGGAGAACAGTGTGGCGATTCCTTAAAAAACTGAAAATAGATCTACCATATGACCCAGCAATCCGACTGCCGGGCATACACACTGAGGAAACCAGAATTGAAAGAGACACGTGTATCCCAATGTTCATCGCAGCACTGTCTATAATAGCTAGGACATGGAAGCAACCTAGATGTCCATCAGCAGATGAATGGATAAGAAAGCTGTGCTACCTATACCTGATGGAATATTACTCAGCTGTTAAAAAGAACACATCTGAATCAGTTCTAATGAGGTGGATGAAACTGGAGCCTACTATACAGAGTCAAGTAAGTGAGAAAGAAAAACACCAATACAGTATATTAAAGCATATATGCAGAATTTAGAAAGATGGTAATGATGACCCTATATGCGAGACAGCAAAAGAGATACAGATGTAAAGAACAGACTTTTGGACTATGTGGGAGAAGGAGATGGTGGGATGATTTGAGAGAATAGCATTGAAACATATATATTACCATATGTGAAATAGATGGCCAATCCAAGTTTGATGCATGAAACATGGCACTCAAAGCTGGTGCACTAGGACAACCCTGAGGGATGGGGTGGGGAGGGAGGTGGGAGGGGGGTTCAGGATGGGGGACACATGTACATCCATGGCTTATTCATGTCAATGTACGGCAAAATCCACCACAATACTGTAAAGTAATTAGCCTCCAGTTAAGTTTAATTAATTAATTTTTTAAAAAACCACACAATTTCCTTCCATTACTTTCAAGACCTCAAATGTCCTGGCTCAATAATCCCTTCTGACCTTGTGTCCAGAAACAGTGGCTATGCAGGCCCTCATGCCACGCCCACATTCCTCTCAGGGCCTTTGCGCTTGCTACGGGGCTCCTGGGGGACCTTCCCTCCAACCTCTCCTCAGCACTCCAGACATTACATGTGGGGACCCCATCTACACTCTCCCCACCCCACCCCCATCACTGACCATATTCCTCTGGTTGACTTCCTCCACTGCACTTATCAGAATCTGACATGAATTCATTATCTACACTTTCATCTGTGTTTTTGTTTGTGTCTTAATTGTCTCAATCCACTGTGAAGAGTGTAATTCAGGAAAACAGGACCTGGCTCACTAATCTCTCTCTGGAGCCTAGAACACTGCCTGGCATGTAGAATGCATTCAGTAAACATTTGTGAATGAATGAACATTGTCACTCAAAGACCTTTGCCTTTCAGTATTCTTGAAATTTTAACCCAGTGAAAACGTAAAGGAGAATGTGAAATCCTTTCATATTTTCTGTAGCATTTCTAAAGCAAAATATTAGGCCCTAAAAATGTATAATAAAATAACATGGGACTAAACCAAGAGGGTTGACTGAAGTAGGTCAATCCATCAACTGCATGAGGACGCTCTCCAGATCCAGATGGAAGCCCTGTGCTGGGATCTGTATGGATGGAGATGTGGGGCGGGAGTGTTCTCAGGGAAGGAAGCAAAGGTCGGGGTGGGAAGAGGGCCCTCACAAGCTTATACACACAGGCTGGAACATCTCAAAGGGCAACTGTCCTCAAGAGAACTGCTGGTTAGATTCCCAGCAGCAGAGAATCTTCCCAGCTGGAAGCCAGCAGAGAGGCTAATTATCAGAAACTCCTCTCCCCACAGAAAGTGCATTCTTCCCCTTTCCCCTACTAAGACCTGTTTATATTTATTCCTCTTCCAGGCTTTGAAAAAAAACTGCAACCATGCATACAGTGAGTGCATACTTCTGTTGTTGATATGCCATTTAAATATATGAAACAACATTTCTTGTTTCGAGTTAGGTTTGACTTGGGGGAGGGGGCGCGGAGGTTGGGGACGGAGAGGTAGCACAGAGCCAACAAATAAAGTCAGCAAATGCAACCACACAAAGTTGGGGAAAGAAATTCCCCACTCTGAGGAAATTACTTCATACCATAGTAAGGGGCTGCATTTATTTGGCTTTTCACTCTCTATGCCATACCCGGCCGCCCTCCAATGACCAGGCTGGGAGGCTGGTCATGTCAGGCTCTCTGACATAAGAATAGAGGGAGGTGGGGAGCAAGAAACTGCTAGTTCAGTGATTTTTTTAAAAGGGGGAAATAGGATTACTCTTTTCAGTTTATTTCAATTCCACATCAATTGACAGATAGACTTTATTTCCCCTGGAGAAGGAAATGGCAACCCGCTCCAGTGTTCTTGCCTGGAGGAGCCTGGTGGGCTACTGTCCATGGAGCTGCAAAGAGTCAGACATGACTGAGCAACTAAACAACAGACTATTTCTGAGCTTTAAGGGAAGAAAATGCAGTCAACTTGGGAATAGTTTTAATCAAAAAGCAAGTGTTAGGAGTGATTTGTATTGGCCTTTGTCCATATTTATTTTAATTTGCAGTTGCAAATTGATATATCTCCTAGAACACAGCTCACTAAAGCTTTTAGCCCACCACGATCTCCAGGTTCCATCCCTGCAATAACACACACAGCCCTCAAAAAGGCAAAGGGAGGAAAAGTTTTTAGTTATCCAATTCTTCTCACAAAAGAAAAATATCTACTGAGTAGTAGTTAACTGCCATATCATTAATGAACATACAGATAGACAGACAGATGGGTGGATGGATGAATGGATGGATGGAGATAATAAGTGATAGATACAGACTGGTATAGACATGATAGATACAGAGATAGATGACAGATGATGGATGGATGGATAGATCAGTCAATCTTAAGAAGAAAGCCTCACAAATCACAGTACATCCTAGGGAATCTTCTTTCACATGGGAAGTATTTAGAAGATCTCACAATATTTTATGTGGTTCATTTTCCTAAAACTGAAGGGAGACCACAGTCGTAATGGGTAAAGGATAGCAAGGAAAAAAACAAAACAGATGCATATGGGCATTTTGGGATTTACTCTCTCTTCCTGATCTCAACCAGGGCTCATTTCTGGTATCTCTCCACACTCCTCACTACAGCACCCTTGTTCAATGGTACACACACGCAGAGGAGACAGGGGTGCAATCAAAAGCAGGGCAAAGGCATAAGCAGCCCACATGGATGAGACCCACTTCTCTATGGCACAAACTCCGTGCTCCACACAGGGAGCCAAGATTCTCCACTTTCCTCATGATAGAATCCTGTGTGGGAATTCTCACTCATTTGGGTTTAGATGCCCACTCGTCACAGCCCCCAAGGTCACACATGTACCACATACCTGAGGAAGATGAGCAATACTCTGGCTTGAAAGCAATAACCCAGCTATGCTGTCATTTCTTATGAATTATGAAATAGCATGGAATGATTGTTCTGCAGAATTAAGCCTCTTGGTGAGTGGGAGCCGGGGAGAAAGCAGACCCGACTGCTTCATGTCAACAGTCAGTACACAGATGAGCTATGAACACATGGGAATAGCGCTGCAAGGCCCTCAGAAACCTGCCGCCTCTGGGAACAAAGCTTCCACTCTCGGAGCTGCTTCTGAAGGTACATCCATGACCAGAAAAGTCGGAAACATTGACTCAGAGCCACTCAAAACCCAACACTGGTTAAAGCAGGCCAGAAAACTGCTGAGAGTGGCCATGTGTTAAGAAAAGGACGTTTGACAAATATACTTAAGAACCTCGTCAGAAAGGAAACAGACGTGTTAAGCTGTCGTGGGGGAGGGGCAGGGAGGCCTGCATCGCATGAAGGGGGGTGAAAGGCAGACACGTCAGAGCCGCTGTTGCCACTGCAGCTGCCTCTCAGCCAGCGAGTCCTGTGAACTCTACTTACATCAAACGGAACTGAGCTGGACTGGGCGCTCTGCCCGCACGGTTCCCGGAAGCAGTCGCTGAAAGGAAGGAGGAGCCCCATGGCGATGATCCGCGAGCAGAACTTCTCTGCTTCTTCTGGAGGCCCGTTCTCCTGCTGGCTGAACAGCTTCTCCAGCAGAGTTCTCCCTGCAGGTGAGACACGGTCGTTAGGCAGGAGCACTGGCAGGTCCCCAGCTCAGACTCCCTGAGGAGAGGTGGCAATCACAGCTGGGGCGGCGCCATTGCCCAGGCTACGCCACGCGCCATGCGCAGAGAGGACTCCGTGGGCGGCCCAGGTACCACACGGGGAAGGTCGCCCCAGGGTCTCTCTCCCATCCCCCAATACCTCTTTCCCCCAAAGACAAAGGGGCCACGCGATGGGCCCTCCATCTTCTGCCATGTGAAGAAGCCGCAGGCTTTCGGGTTTCCTTGGAAATCCTCCTGCCATCGCCAAAGGCTCTCTGAGGAGGCAGCCAGGAGCCCCCATTTTGGCTAAGAAATGTCAGGGGCTGATATTCACAGTCTTATATGGCGATGGTGGGTGGGGGCCAGGGGAGGGGGTGAGAGGGAGACAGGCACCAGCCCCTGGAAGCAGGGAGGACTGGCCAGCAGAAAACGTCACCCTGAAGTGACAGAAATGCAACATTTCCTCACGCGCGCCTCAGAAACATCACTCTAAGATAGGTCCACATGTCAGGCTTTTATTAGTTTCCTAGAAGAGACTAGAGAAGAGAGGCACACAGAGGAGACAGCAGCGGTGTCTGGGCCCAATGGGCCCAGGGCTCTGGGTCTTGGCAGTGAGGAGAGCAGGACTCTGGGGAGGGGCATCCAGGAGTCTGCATGTCGCTGGTCACCCGGAGCCAAGACCCACAGGCCCAGTCCCTCATCTGTCCCAACACAATTCACTCTCTAACTTAACTGTCCTTCGGAAATGATCCCACTGGCTTCGCACTAACTGACTATGGTGGAAGGAAAAGGAAGTTTCCTTCCTGGCCAGCAGCTTTTGCTCACTTCCTGCCCTGCTCCTGCCCTTCCTCTATGAGCAGGTTCAACCTTCAAATTTAGGATAAAACCACTTATCCAGAAACGCTCCCAGAGACCCCCCGTCTGCCCTCTTTTGGCAACCTTCAAAGCTCCTCTGTCATTCATTATTTTAGTTAATTATTTGTGCAATTATTTGTTTAATGTCTGCCTCCCTTACTAAAACATAAACTCTCTGACAGGAGGCAGACATCCTGCAAACCTGGCCACTTGCAGATAAGAAGCATCAGTGAATACTTTTAGGATTTCTAAATGAATACAATGCAACGATTCTTTGACGTCAAAGACTCATTCACATCATGGTCGGAACTGGAAATGAATTATCAGTCTAGACCAGGGTTAGCAAACTCTCTGTAAATAACCAAATAGTAAATATCTTAGGCTTTAAGGGCTATGGAAAGCCTCTGCTTATGTTCTTCCTTGGTTGGGTTGTATTTTGAAAAACTTTTAAAAAGTAAAAAGCATTTTCAGCTTGGGTCTGTGAAAGCAAGGCCCAACTCTACGTATCAGTCACATCTAAATTACAAATGTATACACACTCAGCTCTGCAGGACAGTAGCCACGCAATTTTTGTGTCTCTTCCTGTTTCTGTTTGTAAAACAAAAACTAAAGAGTCAAGATATACTTCTGATACAGAAAATAACAGAGCAGGGCAGAAGAGGCTCTGTTTTCTCCATTCCTGTAGGTCAGTAAAGAACATCTGCTGGTCTCCCAGGACATTTTCTGAGGAGAAATAAAAAGCTTTTTCCCCATAGAACTTAAATTTGTCTGCACCTCACTGGATCCACACTTAGAAAACCATATCCCTCAGTTCTCAAGTGATTGATTATTATTACAATAAACCCATTTTATAAATACATCTTACAGTAGGTCTGCAAATGGTCAGAAGACTAATTAACTCTTTCCTATAACTCAATCTTGTGTATGAAAGAAAACATGGGAGACCGGGTCTTGTGTTTGTGTGTGTACGTCCAAGAGTGGAAAAAATGTGTGTGTGTGAATCGAATCAAAAAATTATCAGAAGTGGGGAGAGGGCTTCCCTAGTGGTCCAATGGTTAAGAATCCATCTGGCAATGCAGGAGATACGGGTTCAATCCCTGGTCCAGGAAGATTCCACATGCTGCAAAGCAACTAAGCCATGCACCGCAACTACCGAGTCCACCAGCTGAAACTACATAAGCTCGCGCATCCTAAAGCCTGTCTCCACAATAAGAGACGCCACCAGTGAGAAGACTCAACAAAGAGCAGGCTCCTGCTCACGCAACTAGAGAAAGCCTCTATGCAGCCATGATGACCCAGCACAGCCAAAACAATATTTTTTTTTAAGTGGTTGGGGAGCAGTATGGGAAAGAGGGAAGCACAATGTCAGAGCTTCATGCCTTGAGGAGCAAAAACCCTTCAACCTGAGCATCTCAGCTGCAGCTCCCAGCCCTGGGTGGCAGCCTGTGCTGAAGGCCATCATGCCACAGCCCCCTGGGACCTCACCTCCAGCTCTCCAGCTCTCTCTATGGCAAACTCGCCCTGAGGTTGGAGTCCTGTGTTCCCAACAGCCCAGGTGCCCCAGAGGCTGCCTCTCACAAGCCTCTTAGATGAAGACATTTATGTCAAATCCCACACATCTCAGGGACAGGGAGTGGGGGAGAGGGGGTTCTTAATCCCACAAGCAATTCTGAAATGACCTGACTCCTTCAAAACCCTCTGCTCCCTTGAAACTCTCCTCGCTCTTCCTTCTGCATCCACTCCTTCTGGTCCTTCTCTCCCCCACTAAGTCCTTCACCTCATCCCTTGCCACCCTGGTCTCCACCTCAACTCCTACTATCACTGTCACCTGCTTTTAGGAAGATAACTCACCCGTGACCTTGAGCCCCGCCTCGCATGCCTCCTGCACCCTCACAGAAACCGTCTTGTCCACCACTGGGAGCTTGACTGCTTGCACCAGGCCTGGGTCTGAGCTCACTCAGCCCTCAGGGCTCCCTGTCACCCTTGGGTTGAAGCCATGATTGAAAAAGATCCCACCTCCTGCGTCCTCCTGTCTCCCCCACCCCACCCCTAGCTCACCTACCACTTCCCCCTCCAGCATCTAAGAGCCCTCCTGGGGGCTTCTGCACCAGAGCACTCTGCCTAGGATATCTGTAAGACCCACCCTCTCTCACTTTATCCATGTTTTTCCTCAACTGTCACCTCCACCCAGAGACCTTCCTGACCACCCTTCCAAAAATAGCACACCCAAGGTGGATGAGGGAAGGATTGGGATGTTAGGAGAAGCAGTTGCAAGCTATTATATAGCGAATGGATAAACAACAAAGTCCTACTATAGAGCACAAGGAACTATGTTCAACATTCTGTGATAAATCACAATAGAATAGAATATTGAAAAAAAGAATGTGTGTGTGTGTGTGTGTGTATAAATAACTGAATTACTTGGATGTACATCAGAAACTGGGCTTCCCAGGTGGTACTGGTGATAAAGAACCCACCTGCCAATGCAGGACATGCAAGAGACACAGGTTGGATTCCTGGGTCAGGAAAATCCCTTGGAGGAGGGCATGGCAACCCACTCCAATATTCTTGCCTGGAGAATCCCTTGGACAGAGGAGCCTGTTGGGCTATAGTCCATAGGGTCGCAAAGAGTTGGACATAACTGAAGCAACTTAGCACGCGTGCATGCACATCAGAAATTAGCACAATGTTATTAATCAACTATAAGAAGATTTTTAAAAATAATAAAATAGCACCTACCACCCTTTCCCAAGACCCCCTCCACCCTTCAGAGAGCAGTTGGGCCCTAAACTCACGTGAGTCTCAGACCATTCCTCCTTGTGGAATGTCAGCTCCATTTCAAGAGATGCCTGTGTCTATTCAACACGTTTCCCCAAAACTTCAAGGAAGGCCTGACACGGAATCACCAATTCATGTTTGATCACCAATGAATCAATATATGGATATCTAATCCCCAACCATGACCTCTGGCTCTGGTTCTGCAATCTTCTATAAACCTCTCTCCCCTACATGGGCCCTGAATCAGTCACGGTCACATGTGAGGTCACTCCCCTGCTAACCAGGTTAGTTTAGACTCCAGCACCACAGCCAAGCCTTCACATACCAGCACCCCAGTCCCGCTCTCCCTGTCACATCAGCCTGGCTGTCCCCATGTCCCCTGCCTAGACCTCAGCACCTCAACACCATGTAAGACACATGTGCTACCTGTTCTCACTTTACCACCTTAACTATAAACCTCAGTAAGGCTCAACCCTGCTCTGCATTCTCAACTCAGCTTCCAGGTGCCTCCTGCAAACCACTCTTTCCAGTGAGATGATGAACTTCTCAAAGTTTTTACAAAGTTTTATTTACTGAGAACATGGAAGAATCTGGGACTGTGTATACTTGGAATACACACCCCTGCACTTCCTTCTGCCTCCTCTTCATGGTGCACACACTGCTCCAGACAAAAGCAAGTTCCCTTTGTGTCCTGAATCGAATTCCTTGCTGCATGCATGAAACTTCACTCTTTAACTTTTCCTTCTCTCTGAGTCATGAACATGCCCTTCTTGACCAGACATTTCCAGAATCTCAAATACATTAATTTTTTTAAAAGTCTCCCTGACCCCACATCATTCCCTACTACCTGCTACTGTCCTATTTCTTGGTTTCCTTTCACATCAAAAATACTAGCTATATCATGAGAAAGTCTACAAACAACAAAGTATTGAAGAAGATGTGGAGAAAAGGGAACCTTCGTACACTGCTAGTAGGAATGTAAATTGGTGCAATGAGAAACAGTATGGAGGTTTCTCAAAAACTAAAAACAGAACTACCATATGACTCAGCAATTCCACAGCTAAGCATATATCTCAGAAAGATGATTCAAAATTATACATGCACTCCTATGTTCATAGCAGCACTATTTACAATAGCCAAGACATAGAAGCAACCTAAAGGTCCCTTGATAGATAAAGAAGACGTGGCACATATATACAATGGAATGTTACTCAGCCATAAAAAGAATGAAATAATGTTCATTTGCAGCAACATGGATGGACCTAGAGTGTATAATGTTTTGTGAAATAAGTCAGAAAGAAAGGACAAATACCATATGATATCACTTA